GTCCCATATTTCCTTGGCCAAAGACATCCAGAGATAGTGCTGGCTTATATGGGGTTGCATAGAGTTGACTAACCATCCTATAACAGTATAGTTCTCTTGCATCCAATTTTCAAATTCAGGGTCTGTCTCTTCGGGTTTCACCTTACTGCCTGTGAGATACCCGAGTTTTCCTCTACTACAAACATAGGTTTTTATAGACTGTGCCCAAGCAAGATAGTTCGTCCCATCTAGCTTAATTGTGGTAACACCAGTCAAAACGAAATCTACTGAGGTAGGTCCAGAAACCAGCACCTGCTTGAACTCACTTCCATATGTCTCCATTAATCAAACGAAAATCAAAGAACAGAAATTTTGRCTATGTAAACTTACTTGAAGTCAAACCAGAACTTGGGTGCTTGAAAAACTAGGGTTTTGCTCCGTCCAGCAGATGGGAGGAAGAGAGAAGATGCTGCCACACCTACCAAACTAACCCAAACTCTTCCAAACCTGAACCGCCCTCCTTTAGCAGTCACAAGACACCTTCCAAGCACAGAGCACCACACCCGAGCTTCACCTTTCCTAGTAACCTCAAAAATCTCTAGTCGGCTAGGGTTTTGGGCAGCAGCAGATCTAGCCAGAACTAAACTCTCCAAACCCTTCTACCAACTAGGCAAGTGGTTCTCTATACTATAGAGAACCTATCTCTCCATACACTCTCTTGATTTTAGAGTGTACAGGAACGAAGAAAAAAGAAGGAAGAGGAACTAAACCCGCTCTGATACCAAGATGTAAATCAGTCATCTAATATCAAGATTAAACTTAGTGATTCGCAGAATAAAACAGATCTAAATAACTGTAAAGGAGAAGAAGATGGCAAAGAGAAGAGGTAAGAGAAGGAGTCGAATAATTCTCCATTCTCCTCTAACCCTATTTTATTAAGATCTAAAAATTGATGACGACAAAAATGCCCTTAAGTGAGCGGCCAGCTTGGCAGTTACATAAAGAAAAAATAAACAAAAATAAATAACAGGCCCATTAAGTGTGGTCCATCAACATAAAATAAAAGATATTACAAGAGAGGCTGTTAGGGCCCAGTCTCTTTACAAATCCAAACACACCCCTTTGTTTTTCCCATCCTACTCTAATTCTATGGGATACATCCTCCTTGATCTCTCCCTCATCATGAATTATGAAACCAAGGTACCAAAAAAGGTCACACTGAGATATATCTCGGTTTCCAATCCTAAGTGTACCCTGATTTGCACTCTTATTTTAGTTCTACTAACTTTAAAGTTTAAAACCTCTTGTTTCTAAGGCATTTGTCCATAAGCTTAATTTTGTGTTTAATCCTTTGTTTATTTCATCAAGGAAAACAATGTCCTCAGCAAACAACATGCACCCTAGGACCTCCTGAATATGTTTAGCCAATTCATTTATGATAACTGCAAATAAATAAAGGGCCGAGTTCTGAACCTTGGTAGAGGCCCATCTTAACAGTAAAATCAGATGTCTCTCCCACAGGTGTTCTAACATTGGTCATTGCACCTTCATACATATCCTTAATTAGGTCTGCATACCTATTTAAGGAAAGGGTGTAGGCAAGGTTCAAAGTACCGACACAGGCCGATACGCCTGTATCGGTGTTTTTTTATGTTTTATCTATTTTTTTCAAAACCGGTTCAGAGGGGTCAGTTTAAGTCCCAGCTACCCTCTGAACCATTGTCTGACCCGATACAACCCCTGGAGAAGCGTATCGGGAAGCCATCGGCACGATACGAGCTGATACGTGTCAATACTTTGAACCTTGGGTGTAGGTTTTTAATACAGGTTACCTGTTTTTAAATTTTAGTAGTCCTTGTGCAGTACTGCTGGAATGCTGCATTCCTTCTTTCCTTTTTGAACATGTATCTAAGAAAAGTCAACCTGGATATAGTTCATCTGGAACTTAATAATGTTTGAACCACATCATCCTCACAGGTGTTCGCTATCTTCCCTTTTCCAGTAATGTTGGAAAAAATGCATAACCAATTAATGATATTCTCAGTCAATATACTTCAAGTGACCTTAGAAGTTTCTGGCCAAAACCTTGTTCAGAAGGTTAAAGAAATTCTTACCTCTGTGTTGCAAAATAGATAGGTAGTGCTACAGCCACACCCTACAAAGAAAATGTGAAGAAGTTAAAACAAGAGAAAAGATAGATAATTTTAAGTGAAGAGCTCAATTCAATAGTTAGTAAATACAATAAAATTCACAAATAATGAGTCATTTGATCTACAATAACACCTCTCATTGTCACAGAAGAACATAGTAATATTTACAAGTGATGCTTATCCTACTGCAGGGTTAGACAAGATATACACTTCTATATAGGGTCCGTTTTGTTCATAGCTGGAATCAGAATCAGAATGGCCTATTCCCATAGTCTGTTTGGTTAAGGCAGGAATTGGAATCAGCTGGAATGGGATTTCATTCCCAAGGGAGGGGGAGGGAATGACCATTCCCCCAAATGGGGGAATGCATTCCACCAGGAATGGAAATGGGATTCCGGTTCCAACCAACCAAACAGGACAATAATTCTTTATGCATATTTCCCTTAATTATTACATGTTACATGTGTCTATACACATGCATAGCCTGACACCAGTGCAGAGCTTCTCTTGCACTACCTACCAGAAGTGGAGGGGGCTATGAAAGGCTGACAGCAGGCAGAAAACCCAAGCCAAATCTTTATGAACATGAACTTCAACCATTGTGTCAAGCTGTCCATTGATTGCAACTATGACGACTCATGCAGCAAACTCCTAATAGTTGAGATAGGCTTCATGGAGTTGAGAACTAAAACTACTCAATCCAACTGACACCCCCCCAACTCAACAAGGACCTGTCCAAATATATTGAGGCAGTTACATGAATGAGGTAATTCCTTTACCAGAAAGGGGGAAATAATAGTGATCTATAGAATGTCTTGATTCTCCACTCCAAGTATTATATCCCTAGTGGATAGAAACAGAAGAGATTACAGTGAAAAGGTGTTTGAACCTGGACCTAAAATCCTTTTTGTGAAGTGAATTTATTTGCATGATCCCCTCAGTAAAAGGTTCTTCTGATTGAACAGTTTTTATGACAAAAATGGCTAAAGGGAACCTCTACCGCTTTTAATTCTAATATTAAGTTACCAGTTATCAAAAAATGAAAAAAAGAAGCTATGCTACAATAGTATGACTATCATACACTATTATAGACTTGCACTTGTCAGTCATTAGGACATCAAGAAACATTAAGTGAATATAATTCTAGTGGGATGATTTAATGGGTCCACCTCCTACTACCGGTATTTTGTAAATGAYCATCTATAGATAAGGAGAATCCATAGTGATCAGACAGTAAAATAGTGCAAAACTGATAACAAATACAGTGCATGTTAAAAGAACCACCAAAGGAATCCAAAATAACTTTTACAAAAAACAAAAGAAACCCAGAAGAAAATAAAGAAATACATAATTAAAATCCTACCCCTGGACCCATGGACCCACTAGAATTTGAATTTCTCTCAAAATATAGGTCTTCTATTCAAGTTTCTTCAGCTACAGGGTTTGCTAGAGCTCAGCATAAGAAGCATCTGGGGCCATGGAACCCACCTTGAAAAATATTCCAAATTATAGAATTTTCTCCTGGGACTTAAGCCCCTCTTTACACTTGTATTACTGTTATTTAGGTTTTTTTTTTATTGTTCGCTTGTATTCTATATCAACACCATGATGTCACTGTGATAATAAGACTACTTTCACATATGAGTTGTAGTTATCCAAATAAGAAAAAAGTAGATTTAACTGAAACAGGTACAATAAAGGATATGATTCAGAGTTTAAATTCATTAACATGGCATGACACAAGAGTGAAAAAGAATGACAAAAATTTAACCTCTGGGATGTTGTGCAAAGCAATAGCCAAGGCCAAGTTGAGACCAACCCTGAGTCCCTAAAACAAAGCATTCAACAAAAAAGGAAGTTTGAGCTATAAGTCATATATATGATCATTAGTTCCTCAAAAATAGAAATTTAAAAATATAAACAACTTTTATCGTCATATTTATATCATAGAAATATATCATTAGTCATTGCTACTGAGGCAATACATAATTTGAACTTGATCGCTTTCCCATAATATTTGATACCTTCAGCTCATACAAGAAATCTTGGCAATAAAATCACTCAATTAAACTGAAGAGAATGACAGGAAAATCCATCTATGGAAGTACAATATATATGTATACATGTAATTTCTTATACATATATGCCCAAATACTTTTGAATATGTACATATACACAGAAACACAAGCATACATGCATGCACATGTGTTGGTAAAAAAGGGATCAACTTTGATGACACTTTCAGTCCAGTTGTCAAACCAAGTACAACTCACTTGGTACTTTCTATTGCCACTTCAAATTCATGGGTCATCCACCAACTTGATGTTAGTAACGCATTCTTACATGGCCATCTCAAGGAAGAGTTTATATGAGTCAACCACCGGATTTTCATCATCCATCATATCCAAATCATGTATTGTCTTCTTCATCGTTCTTTCTATGGTTTGCGTCAAGCTCCTCGTGTTTGGTTCAACCATCTCCGTGATTAACTTTTAGAATGTGCCTTTATGCAGTCTAAGGCTGATGCCTCACTTTTTATCCATCATACATCTCATGACATTACACTCATTCTCATGTATGTCGATGATATTCTTCTTGTTGGTTCTAACACTCATCTTGTGGAGTCCATCATTCAGTCCTTATCTCAGGAGTTTGCTTTATGGGCTCTTGGTCCTTTACATTATTTTCTTGGCATTGAGTCGCAACCTACACCACATGGCATATGCCTCTCTCAGTCCTGGTATACACTTGAACTTCTTCAGCACACTCATATGGCTGACGCCAAGACATGTTCTATACCCATGGCGTCTTCTCTAAAGCTTACATCTGAAGGTTCTCAGTTATTTAATGATCCTACTCTCTATCATAGTACTGTTGGTGCTCTCCAATACCTCACAGTTACTAAACTGATCTCTCCTATTCAGTGAATAAGATCTCAATATCTGTCCAAGCCCACCATGGACCATTGGTGTGTTGTCAAGCGCATTTTGTGCTACCTATACTCTTACTATGGGTCTCAATGTTACTAAATCTTCTTTGACCCAACTCCATGGCTTTAGTGGTTCCAATTGGGCAGGATGATGTGTGGATGATTATCATTCTCATGGCGGCTACTGTGTTTTTTATGGTGATAATCTTGTCTCATGGTGTTCTAAGAAACACCCAACTGTTTCATGTTCTAGCATGGAGGCAGAATATCGCTCTCTTGCCATTCTAGCAGCTGAGCTTACTTGGTTACAGATGCTCCCCCATGAAATTCGTTTAGTGTTAGACAGTTTTGTATGCCCTTAGCTTCAATC